CCAGTGCTGGGGGCACAGCTCCTCACCGTGTGGTTGGCTCCACAGGCCACGTCCCGCACCACCACGTTGGGGACGGGCAGGATCTGCCCATCTTTGGTCTTCTCGATGAAGATGCCGACGCGCCGCGGCACCAGCTCGCAGTCGTACTCGATGCGCTGCGCCCGGGCAATGAACTTCCCGTCGGAATTGTGCCCTGCGGAGCAACGCCGGCCTAAAAACGGGATCTCTCCCCTTCCCACACCCCGTTATTCCCATCAGAACCCCCCCTCTCCTCACGCAAACCCCGAGTTCCAGCCCCTGCCGTTTTCATGGAGCATTCCGGGGCCTCACACGGGAAATCGGGGCGGGAAGTTTTGCCCCTTTTCCCAATCCCCTGGAATTGGAGCGGATCACCCCAAAACAGCCCCGTACCCAGCTGCCCGTACTCAGGGCACCCAAAGGAGTAGAGGTTTCCTTTGCAATCCATGATCATGCTGAACTCAGCTCCACAGGCCAGTTTGGTGATGGGCTGCCCGTTGTACATGATCTGTGGGAAAAGTGGGGGAAAGAAAGGGTTAAAAAAACACAGAAAAAAGGCAGAACGCTGAATTTCCCAGAGGAAACCCCAAAATCCTCCAATCTGGTGTTTTAAAAATTTAATTTCAAGAATTCTTGCTTTTATTTTCCCACTGCAGCCAGAAACAAATCCCGTAATGTTCTTGTATCCCAAGAGGGTTTGGGCTTTGTTAGGGTATTTTTTTAATGGAAAACCCACCAAACTGCTGTTTTTTCACCCAAACCCATGTGGAGAAGCAGGGGAGGAGAGGCCATACCTGGGTAGGGCTGGGCACGGCGTCTGTCTGGTTCCCCAACCCCAACTGCCCCATTTTATTCTCCCCGAACGCGAACACGGAGCCGCTCTCTGCAACAGAAAACCAGCAACGTTTGGGGGCAAAACCAGGCGATTTCAAGCAATTTGCCCCGAGTGCCAAGCTTTTCCCCCCAGTACCTGTGAGTGCCAGGGTGTGGTTGCGCCCGCAGGCTGCCAACACGATGGATTCTCCCCCCAAAACCTCGATGAGCTTCGGGGCCTCCACGCGCTTCGTGTCCCCGTGACCCAGCTGCCCTTTTTCATTGCGACCTGAGCCAAAATCACCATTTTGAGCAGCCTAAAATTGTTCTTTTTAGCAAAGGATGGAGCTTCCTGGTATCCCAAGGGTTTCCTTGGGATGTATCCGGTTTTTTTCCTTCCACTCACCCCAGCTCCAGAGCTTGCCCTCGGAGGTGATGAGCAGGCTGTGGGCGGCGCAGGGCCCAGACACGACACTCCGCACCTGAATTCCTGAGAGACACCCGTACCTGTGCGGCCCCCACAAGTTCTGGCCCAGGTTCCTGTAGGCAACTGGGGGCCAAAAATTAATTAGAAGAGGGGGTTAATTAATGAGGACACTAAGCAAATGGAAAGGCATCAAAATAGGCAGAGAAATTGGGTGTGAAGGCGTTAAGAACGAGCAGCGCGTTCCTTCCGCTCTGCAGGAGGGTCAGTGCACACCAAGGCCTGCCCCCAAATTCAGATGTGCAACTGTGACTGCTCCCCTCAACAATTAACTAATCAATCAACTAACTAGTCAAATCAATTAATTAATACCACATAAAAATAGGGAGAAAAAATTGGTTATAAGTGCATAAAAAATTAGCAGTGTGTTCACTTTGCTCTGCAGGAGATTCAGCACACGTCAAATTCTGACCCAAATTAAGATGTGCAGTTGTGACTCCTCTCCTTAATTAAGTAATGAATTAATTGATTAATTCCACATAGAAATAGTAGGAAAAATGGAATATAGGTGCATTAAAAATTTAGCCCACACATTCATTTCACTTTGCTTCGTGGGAGATCAGTTGCACCCCAAATTCTGCCCCACACTAAGATCTACAACTGTGACTTCTCCCTTCAATTAGTTAATCAATCAATTAATTAATTAATACCCCTAAAATTAAGAAAAAAAAGTTATAGAATTAATTAATTAAAGAAAAATTAGTCACAAATACATAAAAAATTGAGCAGCGGGTTCACTTTGCTTTGCAGGAGATTTAGTGCACCCCAAGTTCTGGCCCAGATTAAGAGATGCAACTTTCACTCCTTCCCCCCAGTTAATGAATGCTTTTTAAAAACAAATAAATTAATTATTAAAATCAATTCAATATAAACATATAAAAAGAGGCAGAAAATTAACTAAATCTAAGTGCAAAAATAAGCAGCATCTTAATCCAGTGCACTCCAAATTGTGGCCCAGATTAAACTGTGCAGCTGTGATTCTTCCCCCACTTAATTAATAAAATTAATTAAAGATTAATGTGTAAAAATTAAGCAAATGAACGAAACATAAATACATCAAAAATAAGCAGTGCAGTAATTTTTGCTTTGCAGGAGTTCCAGCACACCCAAAGTTCCAACCCAGATTGTGCTACACAACTGCAAATGAACCCCCTCCAAAATGATTCATTAATTAAAACTTTAATTAAATATTTATGCATAAAGAAGAGCAGAAAAATTAATTAAAATATAAATACATTTTAAAAAGCAGGTGTATATTTTGCTTTGGAGTATATGGGGCACCATCCCAAGTTCTGGCCCAGTTTATGCTCTGCAACTATAATAAAGAACCCTCCTAAAATATTAATTAATAAAAATATTAATTACATGTAAAAGCATTAAAAATAAGCAGGGAAAATTAATTAAAGGCAGAACAAATAAGCCATGCCTTTATTCTGCTTTGCAGAACTGGGGCATCCTGCACCCCCAGTTCCACCCCAGATTAGTGTATACAAGCATAAAAGAAATCCCACCAAAAAGGGTCATTAATTAAAACATTAATTAAATATTAGTGCATAAAAATAAGCAGAAAAACCAATTAATATATAAAATCATCCAAACTAATCCAGGTGTTTGTTTTGCTTTGCAGGAGACCCAGCACACCCCAAACTCCAGATTATGATCCACAACTGTTTTAACCCCCCAAATATTAATTCATCACAAATGAACTATAAATGAATACCAATTAAGCAAAGCACTGTTAATTAGGCAGTTGTGAGCCCCTCACCCTGCTGCTTAGGCACTTCTTTGCGGCCGATCAAGTCCCAGTTGGTGGCCCCGAAAATGAGGAGCTGCCCCCGGCTCTTGGAGCCCTCGAGCTTCTGTGGGGACAGGGGACACTGGAGACAGGGGAATGTAGGGAATGTGGGGACAGGGGCAATGTCAGGGACAGGGGGACACTGGGGACAGGGGAATGTAGGGAATGTGGGGACAGGGGACAATGTCAGGGACAGGGGACACTGGGGACAGGGGACAGTGTCAGGGACAGGGGGACACTGGGGACAGGGGAATGTAGGGAATGTGGGGACGGGGCAATGTCAGGGACAGGGGGACACTGGGGACAACATCAGGGACAGGGGGACA